GATTCCATCCCATGCCTCGCCCCAGTTATGCAGAGCCTGCCCCTGCCCTTGCCCCAGCCCCACTCCTTCCCTCATCATGGGGACCTTGATCTGCACCCCCCCCCACACACACACCTTATATCACATAATTGGTAGCATTAAAAACAAGAAAAAAATATAAAGGGGTACATGAGCTGAAACTTTGAGACAGAAGGGGTACACTTGTTAAAAAAGGTTGAAAACCCCTAGTGTATCCTCTTTGGAACCATGCTTCAGGTAACTGAAGGCTGCTGTTAAATCCCACCCTCAGTCTTTTCTCCACATGAAGTAAACCTAGTTCCCCCAGCCTATCCTCATAAGTCATGTGCCCCAGCCCCTCTAGCCATTTTTTCTTGTCCTCTGTTGGACTCTCCTATTTCTCCACATCCTTTCTGTAGTGGGGGGCCCAAAACTGGACAAGTACTCCAACTGTGGCTTCACCAGTGCCAAAGAGCGGGGAATAAATCACTTCCCTTGATCTGCTGGCCACACTCCCACTAATGCAGCCCAGTATGTTGTTAGCCATCTTCACAACAAGGGCACACTGTTGGGTCATATCCAGCTTATTGTCCACTGTAACCCACAGGTCCTTTTCTGCACAGCTGCTGCTTAGTCAGTTGGCCCCCAGCCTGTACTAGTGCAAGAGATTTTTCTGTCCTAAGTGCAGGACTTTGCACTTGTTCTTACTGAACTTCATGAGCAAGTCCACACATACAAGCACATGCGCTTGCAGCAGCTCAAATAGAAGCAGTGCAAATTTGAGCCAGGGCTTTTTGCTTCAGCGCACATGCTTGGACATGCACTATGTTGTGGAGCAAATTGTGCCACTTGGGGCAAAATAACCCTGCCTGGCTCCTCCTGGATCTGCAGCCAGGGGGAGCTAGAGCCCGGGGCCAGCACCTGTGCTGTCCCCAGAAGTATAAAAAGCTGCTCTGTCATGGCCCCAGCAGTATAAAAAGCCACCCTGGCAAGTGGCTCAGGGCTACTAGGTCTCGGGAGCTTCTGGGGCCCAGCCAATTGGTACCTGGGGACACTACCCCTTGTGCCAGCTGGACTGCTGAAGCAGCCCTGAGAGTTCCCTGCACCCTCTACCCACTGCAGCAGTCTGGCATGGGGGACTGCTGCCTGGCTGTGACCTGCTGTGCACCTGCCAGACTCAGATGGGGACTGCAGAGCCAGTAGATGCACCTGCCCCTCTGGGCCAGCTGCCAGTGGACTGTGGTTGCAGGGTTGGCCTTTCTGTGGCACTACTGCTATTTGTGCCCCCTGCCCGGCCATCTGGGCAGCTATTGCCTGGAAGACGTTCTGGGTGTGGTGGCCTGCTTTGAACTGTCAAAGCATGTCCTCCTGGCCCCATTTGTCCAGGAGGTCAGCCACAGCCAAATGGGTCCAAGGTGCCAGCTCTGAGCAGGCAGGGTCCTGCCACTGGCCTCCCTAGCAGGAATTCTGGTGTTCCCTATTGGAAAACTGAAAAATCCCTGATAAAAAAAATCCCAAAATCACTTTCTAAAATACCCCCAAATCCATGTTCCTCCACAAGTAAAACAAAAGACCACTATAAAGAGACAGAGAGAGAGAGAGAGTGAGATAGAGACAGCGATCAGTTGGACAATGTTTTATTGATGTATCTACGGTGTTAAAGCAAGTCTCTTATCATAATAATAAAGTGAATGCTACATACAGGTTTCATGAATACATGAATACATATTTTGCTGCCCTCCCGTAGGGCGATGGCCCCCACACAAGGGGTTGGTCCCCCACACAAGGGCTATGGTTCCCCAACAGGGGATTCAGCCCCTACACAAGGGTTTCAGCCCCCAACAGAGGGTTCAGCTCCTACACAAGGGCTACACCTCCCCAACAGGGGGGTCAGCCCCCCAAAAGGGGGTTCGTCCCCCACACAAAGGGTTCGGCCCCCCAAAAGGGGGTTCATCCCCCACACAAGGGGTTTGTCCCCCAATAGGGGATTCGGCCCCCACACAAGGAGTACAGCCCCCAAACAGGGGCCAAATGGCCCCTGCAGGGGCTACCACCCCCCCTCAGGGCCCACATGCCCCACCCCTCTTGCTCCCCCAGCCCTCTGGAATGTTGCCCCACCTGGCCCCATCCCCCACTGGCTCCTCCAGCCCCCCCCGTCGCT